GTGACGAGACTTGGCCTTCACCTAGTTCTTTCGTCTAACCACGTAATACATAATACTACATTGTGTAGATAAACATTGAAAATTAGAAATTTTGAAGATATACCACACAACTTCGATATATCTCACCCCTAAGCTCATGAAAGCGAAAATAATGTTCAAAAATAAGCCTTGAGCGGTCGCGTAAAATCAGCGAAATCAAAGGAAGAGTGCAAGTTTTTCAACATTGTGCAACAAAACAAAATATATAAAAGACCTTCAAAAGCAATACCGAAAGAAGAAACATTAAACGCATGCCTGAAAAAAGCGATATACGCCCATGTTTACACAAATACTCAAATATAAAAAGTAAAACCATTAAAGAATAATAAAAATCCATAAAAAGTGCACACAACCAACAGGCCAGGACGACGACTTGGCGCATTTTAATTTACAAACATCGGAAAAAGACACCTTTAATCAGAGCCAAGCCTAGCAAAACAGTAATGAAGTAGAAAAAGATAATACAAAAGTTAACTTATATTATACTTAATTTTAATATACGAATTACACTATTCTTAATTTAATCTAAAAACTAACTTTAGAAATATATGAAAGAAAACTTTTTTGAAAAAATACGCTACAAAACATTACATTTTACTCCAAAATTTTGAAATTTTAAGTACGCAGCTTCAAATCAGTCAATATTAGCTATTTCATCATACAATACTAGTATTTAATTATTTTAATGATTGTAATGTTTCACATTTCCTAACATTTACTGCAAGATATTTCCACGCTCTGGTCATTGCTACTCGGTAAGATTTATTGTAAAAATAATTTATTGTTCCTTTTAGGAATATTTCGTAGCAAGGATTTCTGAATTATTGTTTAAAGATAAAAAAATGTGAGAGATGTAAGTAGGCCCACCTGTACTTAATACCTCCAAGACAAGCCAAAAACTATAAAACAGGCGTACACCTTTCATATTAAAAATGTAATTCGCATCGTAGTATCCCGATATTTGTTCATGATAATTTATATTATATTGAAACCTAACACTGACATTTAGGACTCTTGGAAAAGCATCAGCGGTTGATTTCTTTACGTCCGTACACAACATTGCCATAACGCAAGAGGCATTTTACTAATAGTTCTTTGGTTTTGAATTAATGACATTTGTAACCAGGTTTGAATGGGTACATTAAAGCATACAATTTGCGGCAAGTGTCTCAAGCATGGAGTATTCAATTTATGAATTTATCGATGGTCAAGCCGAAGTTTTTAACTTCCGAGCAGAAATGAACAACGGTGTTGTTAAGTATATGAGGAATATTTAGATTTTGAAGTGCTTTGTGAGACCAACAAAAGTCAATTATAAATGATTGTGATTTTAGTGTCTTTAACTTATGGGCGTTTTCAACTGACCATTCAAATAAAGAAGCCAAATCAGCGTTTGTTTTGCGAACAAAATGGGTCACTTGCTGAGGTAATCAGTTGGTCGTTTGCTGGCTGCCCGTTGACAGAGTAGAGGGGGATATCATTTACATAAAGAAGAAAGCTGGTTTAGGTGATAAAGTATTTTCAATGACTACAACCCGTTGTATGTAACAAAAGTAACTTGAAATCCGTGATAAAGTAGAATCAGAAAAAAAACAGGCGCATTTATATCATCCAGAAGTACATCATGGTCCACCGAATTGCATGCTTTGCACCGGGTTAGGTGGCTCAGGGCATCAATACATGCCAATGAATGCCTCAGTCAGGGAGGTCCTAGGGTTCAAGTTGGGTGGCATGATTTTCGACATTGGTTAAATACGTAGCTAGGATCTATTCAGACAGAGAAAGGAAGAGAATTCTAGCGACCAGCTGCTCTGATCGGTAGTTTTCCATGGTTTCTCTGATCAACACCAGGCGAATGTTGAAGCAGTACTCTATCACAATCGGGCCAGCCGAAGCCGTGCGCGTTCTCTCGTTTTGTTCGCTTCTTGCCCCTAACCCGACCCTTTTAGTGAGAGACAGCGGTCGCACACATTTATGGCGTCAGTAACCTACCACCGACACCAGCGGGGAAAAAGGGTCCCCCCCCCCCCTTTAAAGTTCCCCCCCCAGCGACGCTCCCCAGCTGAGGCGGTGCCCTGTTTGCGGCGATATATGTTTAGGGAAAATCTTCGCAAGCCGACGGGTAGGTCAGCGCGGGATATCGCCATCCACCGGCGAGGATCACCGCCAACTCCAGCGAAAATAACGTGCACTACACTTACAGAACACGACCTTAGCACGTGATGCGCCTGGAATCAATCGAATGCTCTGCTAAAACCTAAAAGCGTTAACGTTGTTGTATTGTTTTCATCGAGAGACTGACAAATGTCTCCAGTCTACCATAGTAAAGCCGTTTACTTACCAATTTCGAATGTAAACATAAAGTAATAGAAAGCTATGCAACCTCTGCTCATATGACACTTGGATATGAATTTGTTAGATACACAGTAACTAGGGAAAATACAAAAACATTGAAAAGGCTTAGAGTTAGATAGAAAAATTCGATAAGATTTTAATGTTTTCGCTCATTCTCGTAATGCGCTTGCCGATATTTTTTCTTCTCTCTTCGTCACTGCACGACATCGTCTATTCACGTCACTTCACGTAACAACAAGATTCCAAGAAAGAGGCCGCTCAACATTAGTAGTAGTAAGTAATGTAAGTAGTAGCAAGTAATTTGTAATATTTAAATATTTACAATCTCTTTTTTATTTTACTTTATTTTACTTTATTATACGTCAAAAAAGTTAAAGAGAGTGTATGTGCTATGGGGAGATGCGTATTCTGTGCATGTTTTCTTAATTTTGGGATCCGTACCTAAAGATATATACAAGTTGAATTCTGAAAACAGAAAGAAATAAGCGTTTTTGGCAACAATTGTGAACAAAATATTTGCTCCGATATAATAAAATGTATTACCAAGTGCAAAACAGCTGTAGATTTGGGCTCTTATCCTTCATATCTTTCGTGAAGGAATAATACTTTCTGCTGCTTCAACATGCGGAGAACGATACTTTAAAAAACTATATTTCTTATTGAAAAACACCTAATCAAATGGGCATCATTGACCCAGTAAGGTGGGAGTTGCATTAAGCAACAGCAACTTTTTATATATTCAGTGTACAGAACTGTTGTACAGTGAATCCGTGAAAAGATACTATACTACCTTCCTGTAGAATTTGTAAGGTCTGTTTTGTTAAATTATTTTATTTTGTGAGTATTTTATTGTTTTTTTTTTAGCAACACGTGTAAGCTTCATTTTTGAGAAATGTATTCTGTGGTTTTGTTTAGCAGCACTTTTGTTATGCAGGTGAGTAGTGTTCTATTACTAATCAGACTCGGCTCAACGACCTAGTTTGTTAATTTTCGAATCGCATATTTTAATATTATCTCTTATGATACTCATTTCGTAAATAACTATATGTTCCTACTGACTATCTGAAGTCAAACATCACGTAACAAATATGGTTTATAATAGGTATTATTAGAACACACGTGTCAATAACATGTACCTTCCTGTCAACAATAAACATGAACTGCTACCAACACCCGGCTGACGCCTTTCGGAAGATGAATAGTCAAGAATGAGTGAGTATTTCGTATTTCCGGGCATACTAACTGCTTGCCTGCGCCGGTAAGAATTCTATGATTTTGGCTGGTACCTCAATGTGTATGGTTGTGCACGTAAGTGTAAATGTAAATGTGTGTAAGGGGAAAAGAAGAGATTGCTCGAGGCCCGTTTTTTAGAACACTACTCCGGTATTCCCTGAGTACTGATTGAAGTAACCACAGAAAACAAACCCACCAGAGCAGCCGGCCGATAGTATTCTCCTCCAGGTAGCGGCTGAGTTCTATCTAGCAAGTGTCGAAAACCCGTCACGGTGGAAACTTTAATTCCGTGGGGGTAGCCGGTCGCAGACATGCGGACTGTTGCAGACAACAACTGTTGCAGCGACAACAGTTGTTGCACTGATTCCTATCAGCAGTTATGAATAGCCAAATGTACTGTAAAAGTATAGTACAATAAAGTAGTTAATTCCAGTAACGATCTTATTTCAAGAACTACCAAAGCGAGGCCTTGAATTTATAATCCCAATATTGAATACAATCCTTCGAAGTACTCACTACCCTATTCAAAGGAAATACGCTCACATAACATCTACTATAATAAAACGGAGAAAAACTGTCACGGACGTGACCTGTGTTTATTATCAGTACTGCCAGAAATTTTCGAAAAACGTATTGCAGCAATAAACCTAAAAAATGAGAAATCATCACATGACTGAACATGGGTTTAGAAAATTCATCAAACTCAGAGTACAATCATCGAGTATTTGATGCAATAATTCCAAGTTTACAAAGGAAAATTTCGTGTTCTACCGTTTTCGTTGCCATCAACCAAGCGACCGATGAAGTCCGGCATGAAAGTCTATCACACAAGATAAAATAATTGCTACCACATTCACATTACCTTCTCTTCCAATCATATCTTCGCGATTATTTTTTGAAGTGAAATACCAAGGGGAGCATTCAGAATTCATTTCCGACTTGTCAATTACAAACTAATTACATTAAATATGTAACCACTAGGTCTATAAAAATTTAATTTCCGATAATTTACGGAATGTTTTACACGAACAGATAGTAAATTTTGAGGATGTGAAATAAAAACTAGTGGTGCTTGCAAAGCACTATCTTTCTTGCATTGTTTGTAAAAATTAAGGAATATTATAATATTATTTGAACATACAATAGTGAAATTTTGAAACATTTAAAGGGTTTATCATATTAAGGTTAGTGCCATGCAATTTAGTGTATTTTTCAATATCCATTCAAAAAGTACAAAGAAAATTTTGAAGCCATTTTCCAGAAAATCGTGTTTCTAAAATAACCAATAATTCGCGCAAAATAACGAAAAAATTACTCATATTATCAAAATTACTTTATTATACATTGTATACAAAATATTTCATTCAGAAAAGATCATCTTCAGTTTGTAGTTAAATACGTCGAAAAAATTCAACTTTTGAAGTTAAAAAAAACTCTATATTTTCTAAAATTCAGTGTATTCAAAGAAAATGAGTCATGTGCCATTTTGTAAGAGTTTTTTGTTCTATCCCAGAAAAATTTAAGCCTAAAAAATTTAAGCCAGTTTTGGAGAAAATTCCGAAATGTAGTTGAGGATTTATGTCATATATCCCCAGATATTAAAATATCCATTTTAAATTCAAGTGGCCGCGATATCAAACGGATCGATCGGTGAATATCAATTTTCATGAAAATTCTGCCTATGGTTTAGCTACTAGCGTAGTTCCTTGCCAGACGGCCAAATTGATAGACTGGCAGACATGTTTTGCCGTAATCCAATTTTTCGGTATCAAAAACTCAAAAACTGGGTGGGTTCTGACTATACAACCTGTTAAGAGGAAGTAATTGACTACATATTGATATAAGACATCGATTTCTCGGAAACAGGTCCTATAATAAACGTTTTCTTTCAAACAATCACTGTTTCACAAGTCTTTCTCTAAACTACGTATTAAGAAAACAGACACACTGGCTGGCACCACAATAATCTGTTAGCACAATAATAAATATGCCATCATGTATAACTATTTAATTGCTAATTAATTACGCAATCAGTAATACGATTGCTCATCAAACGTCCGAGTGAACTAGCCTTTATGATTTATGCTGCCGCCATCACAATCGGTTACCAACAAATATGCCATCTTGTAAAAGGATTTAATTTCTAATTAAATATGGGGAATTTTAATTTCTCTTCAAAAATTGAAGAGCAATTAAATCAATTTTGTGCAATCAATTAGCAATTAAATAGTCCTAAATTGTGGGACTTTTTTTAATGGTAACCAGTTGTGGTAGTGAAGTCGTAGGCTTCCTTGGCAAGTCATGTGCGTGATCTGGGCTGACCGGGTGACGCAGCGTCGAAGGCTGTGTTTCCGTTGCCGAACTCTGTTGACGTTTCGACCATCTTGTCGTGGTCTTTCTCAGGGCTGGTATGCCCTATGCATACCAGCCCTGAGGAAGACCACGACAAGATGGCCGGAACGTCGGCAACACAGCCTTCGACGCAGCGTCACCCGGACAGCCCAGATCACGCAGTTGTGGTAGTGCCAGCTTAAGAGATGTCGCCACGAACGACTCCCCAGCCACTTGGGATTTCTGTGTACTCACATGCCGTGGATGAGCGTGGTGAAGGTGTCGGCGATCTGCCGGTACCCGCCCACCGCATCGCAGCGCACTTGCGGCAAGGGCGCGCCGGGGGGCCACAACTGCTTGCAGACGCCCATGTCCCTGCGGTGCAGGTAGGGCCACGCCGCGGAGCACGGGAGGGGTCCCAGGGACAAGTTGTGCAGCATGGTGCCGTACTCGGGACCATTCGGAACTCCATCGATGGCGTTGAAGATAGAACCGTTGGCGGGGCGATTGGCTGTGGGCGGCGATGGCGTGGTGGACGAGAAAGGGTTCGTGATCCCCGCAGGAGCAAAAGATGGCACCCACGCCGTCATCAACGCAAGGAACATCCATGTCTTAAACATTCTCACTACCCATCACGAACGTTTTGTGTTACGTGGGGGATTCAGACACGATTATTTGCTGAGCAGTTTTAGTGGCGAACCGAACGACAAAAAATTGAATACTTACTATGCCCGTATCTAAGGAATGACGATACCACATATCATTGAATCCTTCACTAGCACTTCCGCCATAAATCTTGTTTACATATTGATAATGAAAACAGAATTGGTCCGGATAACAAAACCTAAACAGTAGAGCATTTGCATTATTTCTGGTATCTTCTTCGAGGAGACGCCACCATTAATTTTAGGATTTGTTTTTACCTATATGATATAACACAGTACGCCATTGTGAATCAACATATATACAAACGCACACTGTTATGTTTTGCACTGCGTGGTCTCCGTAGGTCAGTTCCGATCCACAAGATAATTAAAGTCTTCGCTCATGTCGATTTTTCATTCGATAGCCAGTTATTTTGTGTTGAATTGTACTTGAGCCAGTGTTAGAAATTAATGCACAGAACGTAATTCATAAACTGCGACACTTCCTCCACTCACTTAAACTTGCGGGTTCTTTATTCAGATGAACATCAGGTCTGCTTTGAAGGGTTCTGCACATCCAGCGCAGAAAACATTCTGTGGTAAATTGTTTCACCTTAGTAAATATCATTGACAAAATTAACACATAACTATCATTCTGACCAACCTCGAAAGTATAAACCTCCAAGTCAACTAGTTTTATAATGACGGACTCTTGGAACAGAAAAAATAAAGAAATGGACACGTTTCAGTAAATAGTCAACTTTTTATGGTCTTATACGTTTGCCATACTCACTTTTGTTTGAAAATTAAATACACAAATAATAAAAAATGAGGTCATTTAATTCCAAAATACAATAATAATACAATAGCATAATATAAATGATGAATGTTCCTGGAATACAAAATAAAAATTTTGTATAAAATAAAAATAATAATAAAATTTAAACACACATTATTTTTTATGTAGACGCTCCTTCCATACAATAAAATCATATAAATACCAAATACTTCAATTTTTCATTATTGAGAATATACTTTCTAAATTTTGTTGTAATATGAGCTTGAGACTACGCACAAACATCTTTATAGACTTCTTCTAGAGCCTGTAATAATATTGACATGTTGGCGCCTAAATACAGGATGCCGATTCATGGTTTCCTGGGAAAATTTTCAAGTGATGACTACCAATTTAAATGATTATATGGCATATGTGGCTATGTCTACCACTCCGCACACACACACACACACACACACACACACACACACAGTAAAATCACCCAAGCCCCACAATGGGTTACCGAACCCTCTACGTAATTGCAGGCGAAGTTCAGCACAACAAGCTGCATAATTTTTGTAAACTTCTATGATATTCATTAAGGAACTATTATACAATGGCTTAAAGTTTACCTTTCCCATCACACGTTAAGATGAAGGTTATAATTAATTAAAAACATTAAATATGAAAGCTGAGTCGAAACTTCCATGAAACTGATAAGCTACGTATTCATCTGCTCACTTATTTTAATGACAAGCAGAAAAGTGGTAGAACAAATAGTGTAGTTTTTCCCCGCAATTCTCCCAGAAGGTGCAGTTCAGTTTACCGAACTGCATTAGTGAACTACATAACTGAAATTAAATGAACTGCATTACTGAACTATGTACGTTCACTCAAGAATATTAACTACTCATGAACCAAACAAGAGGAAAATTTACTCATTGTTTTTCCATTTACGTTTAAAACTAAAGAACAGACAAAGGTGGCTCAGAATCAACTGCTCTCACGACAGTATCTCCTAGGATTTGAGCCCCGACGGTGGCAGGGTTTTCGGTAGCAGCTAGAGAGCTAGTTAGAATTGGGACGCTGTCTGGAGTAGAATTCAAGCGGCCGGCTGCTCTGATCGGTAGTTTTTAGTGGTTTCTCCGATCAACACAAGTCGAATGCCGGAGCAATACCCCAAAAACGGACCACGGTTTGCGCCAGAGCTTGCCCCGTCTGGGGTGGTGCTCCGCTGGTGGGAGATTCCTTGGAGAAAATCCCCGCAAGGCGGTGTTGGTCGCCGCCGGATCTCGCCACCCAGCGAGGAAAGATCACCATCTCCCTGTGAGAACGTGCACTACACTTACGGTAAGAATGACCCTCTCTTTTTCAGTTTTGACGCTCTATATATATTATATATATATATAATATAAATACTATAATAATATAATAATATATATGTTATAATTATATATATATATATGATAACTAGAGCATACTAATAGAGAGAGAGAGAGACGAAGAGAGAGAGACGGCCGATCAGTGTCATTATCTATAAGCGCCGCGAACCGCTGAACGGCCGAACGGGTCTTCGGCGCCCCTCGATTCCGGAAGAGGCGAACACGGTCGTTACGTGGGGCAGTGTAAGCCTAGATACCAAAGCGAACGGACGTGCTGCATACCAACAGACACAACATGAAGTTCGTAATCCGGTGAAATCAAGTAAGACAATGTGAAAATGTAAAACAACGTGTTAAATCCAACTGTTCGGTGGCAAATCAATCGTCGAAGAGATCTCACAAGGCGTAGAACAGAATAAAAGTGGAATAATTGGGGTCGGTAGCGGGCGACAGCCACGTGGTGGGTTAGATCTCAATCGAGGAACAGTAATTCGGCATGGTGTAAAGCGTGGACATGATAATGCAAAGTCGTTAAGCAGCGTAATATGTTGTGAACGTTGTAGTACGTGAAGTTGTTGTTCCTGCCTTGCGAGTGGGCGTAAGCGGCGTGGCGTGTAAGGAATGCTTTCCATCGGGAAGACGCCGAACAAGACTGAGTGGAACCAAACGACCTAAAACAACAAAGGACGACGAACAGAATGGAAAAACCAGCACCCGTAAGTATCTCTGCAATATTAAAGCGGGGTATCATCCCGCCATTGATAGGGGAGATGGCAACGACTTTCTAATTATTTTGCATAATTGAATAATATGTGTTGCAAGTTCAAATGAAAATTCATAACATTGATCAAAATGAGGACAAGTTAATGAAAGATTTGGGGCTAATGCTGAGATTCAGATTTATGTTGGTAATGGGAGTTATGAAAGAGATAATGTGTTAACCAAATTGATGTGGAATTGTAATAGTTTAAATAAATAATATTGTAAGTGTAATAGTATTAGAAATGTGATCGCAAAAGGAGATTACAAAGATAAGAATAATTGCAAATAAAAATTATGTAGGGTTCAAAGATCTTGATCTTGGAACAAATAAGTAAAGGTGATCACCAAATACGATTATATGCAGTACTATGGATAATAAATATGATTTTTTGTTGTTTTTAAAGAAATATTTTTATTGTGTAGTCAGTAATGGTTACAAACCCCATGAAAAGAGGATTAAAAGTAAGTACGGTCACACAATATATATATCCGAAACACGTATGTAGCAATTTTATAGAATACAGTTCAAAAATAAGGAACAAGTAAACAAAACGAAGCAATCCAAGAGAAATCGTATTAAAAAAGTTTAAAAATCAGTTTCTTTTCATGTTCAACAAAAGTAGACTCTCAGCGTCAAGGACAAAAGTAGATAGTGTACCTTACGAGTACAGACACAAACTGCGAGCGTTTTCCTGTTGCCTTTACACGGTGGATCTTGTCAGATTTCTGCGATTGCAAGAAAATAGTTAATAATTGATTTCAAATAGTAATTTTACGTAACCTCGGGGAAGGAATTCTTTCTATACCCCAAGAATTAGTTAATAGTCTTGGACCATCGGGTCTAATGTTTCTGCTGCTCTTTTTGTTTATACAATACAATTATATCAGGTTTCTTGGAAAATTGATTGACAGAAGCTTCATCAAGCATTGGAATACAGGAAAAACTACTTCGTTGATTCTAGGCTTGAAAAATACTGACGTAACTTTCTCAGAAACTAATGCTGAGTAAACTTTTTCTCACTATCTCTCGGAATATCTGCATACGTTTCTCTTAAAGATGCCCATCGTTAACTGACTGAAGATCGCATTGCTGACGGCTGGATTACCTAGTGAAAGGGGATCGGACGTACTAAACAATCGGTGCTACAGAATGTAATTTTTGAGCAAATTTCGAAAATATCCCTCAGATTTCGCATACAATTCAAAACTTTGTTTCAAACTCACAAGGTTTCAAACCAGTCCACTTAGATAGGGGAGTATTTATTTTGGCAAACATACTACGAATAGTTTAGGCGCTGGCATTGTTCACACACGACGAACGATCAGACAGACAAACAGGAAGAATTGTAAACGGACGTTTAAAAACAAGGGGAAGAAGAAAAAACACCTTTTCGATGTCAGGGGACCCCAGAGAGTATATTTTCGCTGAAATCTCGATACATAATTTCCTCTTTTTTGCATATATTCTCCGTGTACATACAAGAAAATAGAAGGTTTGAGGAGTGAATAAAATTTACTGAGTATTGGTAGGGTTAGCCCCTTGCCCTTAATGGGATCTTAGTTGGCTAATAATAATAATAATAATAATAATAATAATAATATAATAAAATACTAATAAATATAAATAATAATAATAATTATAATTCTAGCGGTTAATCACATGTCTTATATAAATGGATGCTAATGCAAAGAGTAATAACTTCACTGGCTTAATTGAGCTATAACAAATATTGTACTAAAATACAGAAATGCTCCTATGTTAAGAAAAGGTACACAAACAAATTATTTGGGTTGGTGTATCTTAAAATGCTAAAAAGCATTGATGTAGTCTCATGGGCCTCGCGAGGGAGTTCAAAAAAAAAGATGTTCCCCTGCGTCCCCCCGTGCACCCGCACATACTGATGATAGAAGTAGTCACGGTTACGAAGAACAGCTTTGATGGAATTTTAATATTCTTCACTCAAGTAGATTTCATTAAAGTTATAGAAATATTGTAGTGGACATAATGGACGTTATCACCGCCAAATTATCGGGAGGGGTGT